GAGAATGTAACAGTGGTAAAGTGACTCCATGTTTAATCCCTGGTAACAAAAAGTTTAATATGAAGCCATCACTGCTGGAGCACACCTGTAATTCCAGCTACTCAGGAGGCTATGGCAGGAGGATTACAAGTGTGAGGCCAGCCTCAGCAACTAAATGAGATCCTAAGTAACTTAGACTGTCTCAAAAAAAAAAAAAAAAGGATAGGATGTAACAGTGGTAAAGTGCCCCTGGGTTTAATCCCTGGTAATAAAAACAAAGTTTAATAAGAAGCTGGCTGTGGTGGAGCACACCTATAATCTCARCTACTTGGGAGGCTGAGGCAGCAGGATTGCAAGTGCGAGGCCAGCCTCAGCAACTAAGCAAGGTCCTAAGCAACTTAGACCTTCTCAAAATAAAAAAGGACTGGGGATGTAACAAGTTGGAAGTTAGTCTAGACAACTTAGCTCAAGAAAGGCTGGGGTGTAGCTCTGTTGGGAGAGCTCCCCTGAGCTCCAAGCCCTGTGCCACACACGCAACATACCCACACTCAGGACATGGGAGTGGGCAGAGGAGGACATTCTGCCACCCCACTTGGTACCCACACCTCCAAGGTCCGTGGTGATGGGGTCCCCGGCATAGCCAAGCCCTAAATTCCCCATGAGCTGAGGCGCACCARGAGCAGGAACCCCAGGACCCCAGGGCGGGCCGGGTCACTTCCACAGCACCCCCAGTGGCCTCTGTGCAGCACTGCGGATGGCGTCCTCAGAGAGCGCTCGGATCTCCTCGTGCACAGCCTCGATGCTCCTGGAAGCGTCGACCACCTGTTCCACAGGACGCAGAAGAGAAGACCATCACCACCTCACTCTGCTCCAGGTGCACGTGGTGACTGGTGGGCCAGAAGCTGGAAGGGCCAAATTAAATCCCCAGCACAGTGTGGGGACCCCTGGGACCCTTCACCCCACTTCCCTCTGAACCCTAGCCTCACTGGCATCCACTCTGCTCTTAGGCAGGCCTGTGCTGTCCACATGAAGTGTGCATGGACGCGGCGGGTGCCCACTGAAGTCTGTATCAGTGGGCAAGCTCACAGCAGAGCCTGAGGGCGCCTCCTGCACTTCCTAAGCTAGGACCAGGAGGCAGTCCTGCTGGAGGGCAACTCCTCAGGCCCCAGGACGCTGCTCAGAACATGCGTGTTCTGAAGAAAAGGTGCATCTGCTTCCTGCACTATCCCAGCACTGCCAAGGGGCACCTGCACAGCACGGCAGGAGGAGCATCAGGACCAAGGGCCAGCCCAGAGAAACTCATCTCCACCAGAAAGAAGGCAAGAGACAGAAGTGCCAGAATCTCCCATCAGTCTGCTCTTCTGCTGGGGGGCTGGTGGGGGCCTCCCATCTGTTAGGGCTGACAGAGACCCTTGGCAACAAATTCTTGAAAATACCAAAAGTGTACACGGCTCACAGAACCTAAGGCTTTCATGAACATGGTTGTGCAGGATGGAGGATAGTTTCTCAGGTGGCACCCCCCAGCCCCTCTAGGATGAGGTTAGAGAAACCGGCATCTATTCTAAAAAGCAAGACAGACTACAGAACTCAGGATGCTCTGCTCAATAAGACCCAGAGGTGAGACGCACTCGCGAGCACAGACAGAGCCAGGCCAGCAGCACTGTCTACAAGCGAAGCCGGCCGAGCACCTCACCCTCACAGCTGCTAGGCTGAGCCCCAGGCCCTGCTCTGGAGGAGCTGGCCGCACAGGTGGTGCTGACCTACAGACTTCCCTGGCTGCCTGCCAAAGACACTCGGTGACAAGTGTCCAGGAGAAGTGGAACTGGGGTCAGGGTGGGAGTATACAGTGGAGCAGGGGCTGCTGGGAGGGCAGAGGCGCATCCTGGCAGGGAAGGTGGGTGCAGCAGGTGTGAGGGCTGGAGGAGCAGGACTGGAGAGAAGCCAGGGCACGACACCGTCCTGAACACGGGGAGATGGCTGAGCAGAGCCCCAGTGGCCCTGCACAAGGGACAGTGTGAGGCCCTGGATCACATCTGTGCAGGAAGGCCAGTGTGACCATAGGTCAGCAAATGCATTCCATGAGCACAAGGAGTAAGACAGGCTGAGTACTGGGACTGTTGCGCTCCACCTTGACCATGATTCCTGAATGCAAAGACAATAAACCCAGGGGCTGCTCCTGGGATGGCAGAGCAGAGGTAGTGTGAAGAACACGTAGGACTTCTGGTGCTACAGGCACGCCCACGTGGAGCGGGCTGGGCACGTGCCCATGGGGGCCTGCAGAGCCGCAGGCCCACTGCCTCCTGGGACGACTCCTCAGACTCAACTGGCCCACCAGATGAGGCACCAGGCCTCTATCCCAAAACTCATGGGGATCAGGGATGAGCATGAAGCTCAGGGGTAGAGCTGCCTGGCCAGCTTGAAACCCTGGGTTCACTCCTGAGCATACCACTAAACAAAACATCCTGCTGGACCCAGCAGCCTGCACAGCTGCGGGTTTCCACGGGTGGGAAACACGGAAACTACAGCAGCCATGCCCTCTGCAATCCTAGACACACCTTCCAGTTCAGAGTCGAGTCTCCCATGAGCTGCTGGAAGCTCTGCAGTGCCCGTTCCTGGAAAGCTCTGTCCTCGTAGCGCTCACGACCAAACTCTCCCCGCGTGGCAGCATCCGCCAGCCCCAGCTGAAGGAACAGGATCAGATCWGGCTGGGGAAGGCCGACGTCTGGCTGTTTGCACCAATCCAGGGAGAAGTTCTGCCAACAAAGAACCCATCCATCAGAAAAAGAATGTTTTGCTTCAAAAGTCACTAAAAGGGGGGAAAATGAGCCGGGCATGGTGGTACACACGCCTTAATCTCAGCAGCCCTGGAGCCTGAGGAAGGAKGATCACAAGTTCAAAGCTAGCCTCAGCAACTTAGTGAGGCCCTGTCTCAAAATAAAAAGGGCTAAAAGGGCTGAGGATGTGGCTCAGTGGTAAAGCATCCCTGGGTTTAATCCCTGTTACCAAAAAAAACAAAAACAAAACAAAAAAAAAAAACCAAGAGCTACCATTTAGTAAGATACCAAAAGATAAGAATTCTTTCTTTCTTTCTTTCTTTTTTGGTGGTACTATGGATGGAACACAGGGGGGCACTCTATCACTAAGCCATACTCCCGCCTCCAAAATAAAAACCCTGAAACTGCTAATGCAAGGAAGGGATTTGGGAACCTAGACATCAAAAAAATGTAAGTGGTCCCTCCCATGTGGACCCGCCCTGGGGTTGGATCCAACATAACCAACAACACAAACTGATCAGATGCCTGAGGACACTGGGATGGCTGCTAACATTTTTTTTCTTTTTTCCCAGATGAGATTCTCTTCCTTAAAAGTCATTTTTTAGATGTATACTGAAACACAAAGGAACCACCAGTGTCTGATGTAGCAGAGAGCAAAGGTCCCTGAGACCAGGGTGGTGGTACTGGTGGCACTAAAACTCCTCAATGAAAAGCAGGAAAAGGGAGCAGACCGTCTCCACAGTCATAGGTGCGTGGCCACAGCCCTGACCATAAGCTCAGGAGACATGCTGCAAGCTCTGGTGGGGACCACCCTGAGAATACCACAACACGAATCACCAAGCAAAACACGTGGTTACGCCTTGAAAACAAGCTGCAGCAACGCAAGTGTGTTCTTCCTATCAATAACCACCAAATCACTCACCATAGCAGTAAGAGTCACACACTCCCACGAGTGCTGTCAGGTGTGCTAGCACATGGTGCCTGGAGCCAGGGCAGCTCCCACCCACACGCCTGGCGTCCTGAGGCCAAGCAGCACTCACCTTCTTAGCACTTGTGAAGGCAACACCAGAAAACGCGTATCTGTCCACAACGAGGGTGACACCCTGGCTCAGCTTCTCCTTCATGGATGGCCTAAAACACAGAGGGTGCTCCTGAGCCCTGGAACTGGTCCCAGGCCTGAGTGGTCATGTTCAAATCATCCTGATTATGCAGCTCAGAAAGCCCACAGGTACTGGCCACAGCGAGACGGAGAGCTGGTGCCACCAGGGCACTCCCAGCAAAACCTGCACACAGCAACGAATGCCGACCCAGGCAGCAAGGGCAGGCACACTCACCGTCTGCCCAAGAGAAACTGGGCAGAGAGAGCAAAGAATGGCTGAGCAGTTGAATGCTGCCAGCAGGGACCCATCCACACTCCTGCCCACAGGCTGGGACTACGAGGACAGGGTGCTSTCAACCAAACAGACACAGGTCCACCATCATGCCCAAGGCTCAAGATCTCAGAAGGACATGGAGTCAAGAGGCCTGGCATTAGTAAGAAGCCCAGCTGAAGCCAGGAGACYAGTGAGATGCACACTAGTGCCCAGAGCACAACTCTCCCCCGTGTGCAGGGTCTGTGGCAGCCTGAGAGCAAGTTGCACAACCACATTAGTGTTTAAAAAGCACACTGCATGTGTATGTTGTCTACACATACATGTAAGTAGAAACGTCTCAAAGAGTGTGCCCCAATAAATTAACACTGAATTAATCTGCCACAGAGGTAAGAGGAACGTGGGGACCACACCCTCGAGGGAGTCTGTGCATGCCTACAGTGATGAGGTGCACTCAGGGAGGTGGCATACGGTTCACGTGAACACAGACTGTGAACACTGGTTGACACACACCAACACTGCCACCAACCCTCATGGATGAAACACCGTAACATGATAGATACATCACAGGGGAAACTGGGGAGGGGGTATGTAGGAACTCTACTATTTGATCAGTTTTTCTGTGTATCTAACACTATCTTCTAAAAAATTAAGTCTAGGGCTGGGGCTGTAGCTCAGTGGCAGAGTGCTTGCCTAGCACGTGTGCGGCGCTGGGTTCCATCTTCAGCACCACATAAAAAAATAAACAAACGAAATATAGGTATGCTGCCCATCTACACCTACAAGAAAATTTCTTAAAAATTAAATCTATGGGGGGTTTGTTAGGAGAAGGCCACGCAGGGATGTCCTTGGGGAACTGTGCCAGCTCTGCCCACAGACTGCTGAGGGAAGATCCTCACACATGAAGACGACACCCAGGCAGGTGTGCAGGGCCACTCTGGGTCAGAACTGTGTGCTCTGAGGAGCAGAGCCAGGCGGCCGCAGTGCGCACCACTCACACGTGCTCCCAGCGATTTGCAGAGAAGAGCAGGTGCACCGAGTGGTCCTCCAGTTCACTTTTCTTTTCCAAGTAGGAACTCAGAAGTTTGCCAATTTCAGTTGATCTTTCTAGGACAAAAAGAAAAAAACACAAATATTTGTGAGGTTAGTCCATTTAATTTAGAATATAGTTTATGTTAAATTTCTCATCCTGGACTCAAGTCTAATTACTCAGTTTTACTTTACTAAATCTCTGGACAGGTTCAGATTGTCCCAGGAAGCCAAGGAGTTTCCCTGAGAAAAACAGTAATATGCAGAGGCCTTGAAGAAAGTAATTCAGGAAGAAGAAAGGTTGTGACATCACAGAAGTGAGGTCTGARGACTAGCTGGCTTGAAGACTGGATCCCCCCCCACCACCCATTTCCTAACCCTGTTTTATATGCTATCTCTTGATGGAATACTGGTGGTTATATTTCCATAAACCTTTCCAGAGTCAATGCTTTCCTTTACTAACAATATGGGGCTKGGGGTGTTGCTCAGTGGTAGAGGGTGCTTAACATGCAGCGTCTTGGGTTCCATCCCGCATACCTAAAAAATTAAAAACAAAGACAAAACCCAAAAGTGAGAGTGAAGAGCAGATTGTGCCTAGCCCTGAGTCACTCCACCTTGTAAAGCAGCTGTTTGCCACAAGCTGCTCTATCATGAGCACTGGTGCCAGAGTAGGTGACTCCACACCTTGTTAGCACAAGTGAACAGCCACCATCTGCCCAGCACCACCATAAAGCACAAACTGGCAAAGAAGTTGTGCTAATAAAAACGACCACCTGTGAACTTACTGATCAGAAGCACTTGGACACATGGGTTTATCCACTCCATAAAAACAAAAACAAGCCCTTGAAATCATCTAAAATACAAAGTAATCCTCTCACATGAAATGTACAAGAGGAGGAGCACCCCAAGACTGGTTGCAGCACACAACCAACCAGACCTCAGATCATCTCAACAGAGGGCAACAGGCAATGAACCTGCGATTTCTGACCACCTCCCTACTCCAACTGGACCCTTGCCTAGTGTTAGTTCTGGGCCTTGCAGCTCCGCACCCTGAACAAGTTCTTGTTCCTGAGCTTATCTGAGCACATAGAGTGACTCTTTGCTTTGGTATCTGCTCTCTGACTTTGGTCGGCTCAGCCTCCTGAACACCTGTGGTCACCTTAACCTTGAATTTAGCTTTCTGTATTTTATTTATAGATTTTTATATAAATGTGAGTCGCGAGCTGAGTGTTGTAGCGTTAGGAATTAAGGTTGGCATAAAGAACTTGTGATGGCCTGTCCTATGACCACCGTGCGACCCGAGGACCCAGTGCAGAGCAGCTGATGAAAACGGTGCAGCCTTTCAATTTACTGTCCTGCAGTAAGTCCTGACACTGTGGAAAGACACCAGCGTGTTCCGTCTACGTTAACAATGGGGTGGCTCCTGCAAGACAGTGAGGCTGGGGAAGTTCGCGGGGGATGCAGCAGCGACCGGCTCGCAGCGGGAAGGGGAAGCGCGGCAGCTCCCCCCGAACCCACCCCACCCCGCGCAGCRGCTCCGCGCAGTCGCCCACCCGCCTCGCCGGCCCGCGCGCACCGGGGAAGCGCAGCAGCTCAGCGCGGTGGCCCGCGGCGCACAGCGCAGCCACCAGCTGGCGGCCCTGCGTGCTCTTGCCCGCGCGGTCCACACCCTCCAGCACAATCAGCGCCCCACGACGTCCCGCCATGTCGTCCAGCGCGCGCTCGGCGGAGCTCCCGCCAACCCCCGCGCCCGCGTCCGCGGCCACGCCAGGATTGGCTGGGACCGGGGMGGGCGGGCTGGCGCCTGCGCCTCGGGCGGCACCGCCTCTTCCGGGCCGCGGTCGGCGGCCGTGCGTCTGCGCGCGCGGCCGCGCGTGCTTCTGGAAGTCCTGCTGTTCCGGCCGGCACGGTCCAGGCTGGCCTCTTGGCAGTTCCAGAAACACGGCGGGTCAATAGAGCTTCCCTCCTCCCCCGGAGCACGGCCTGCGACGCCTGGGRAAGAGCGGCCGGGGTTCGCCCCCTGACCCTCCGGGCCGACCGGCCGGGTGCCAGGGCTGTCGCCTGCCCGGGTGTCTGGCGGCGCCCACTCTCAGGGGAGCTCCTGGCTGGTTTCAGATGTCCCAGTGGTCAGCAGCACCTCAGGTCCCTGGCTG